CAGAACATTCAGGAAAAATATGGTGGGGACACATCTCGGTGTTCTGTGGAAGATTTAGAGTCTCTTATCGAGGCCAAACTTGAGCTTGCTTCTATTTCTCAGCAAAGACATCAAGCAGTTTTCAGGTAAGTAATAATATGAACAACATCTTCTTGCACATCCTTGACTACTGAAGAAAAAAAAAATTCCTTAGTTTCTACATTAATATTCTAAATCATAGTAGACAACCGTGACTGTCCATTAGTGTATTGACTAATGTAAGATACACTTACATTCCTTCACATTCCTACTTCCTTACAAAGGCATTCCTTTGTTTTATTATTGCTTTATTTTGTTTTTTAAAAGATGATCATTATTTGCCTCTGATTTCTGTGAGGTGTTTTTGTGATACAGAGTTATATATAAACTAAGAAAAAGTTGCAATCTTCTCTGGTTTTGGATATGATAGGTAATGTGTTTTCTTACAATTTGAAAGTGTACAACAGAGGACTAATGTTATCTCTGAACTACTGAATTCCACTTTATTCTAGAATGACTTGTGTTACTGTCCTAAAAGAACATTTCTGCTCCATACAACCTTTAACATATTTGTATAGATTTTAACGGGCATTAATTTTATTTATTGATAGTGTGTATTGATTTATTGATAGTGTGTGAAATACTGTTTTATTTACAAGATCTGCCAGATACTTTGTCCAAACTACAATTCCCAAATTCTGGGTTTTTTTTTTTTCTTTTTCGGTTCTGATTTCTTTAGGAGAATTTAATCAAATTACAATTGTGATGTTCTTTGAATATATAGGGCACACAAAAATGTACTCACCCTTCATAGCTGTTAAATTCTGAAAATTGTTTTGATCTTTTAGCTGGAGGATTCTTCTGTTTAGCATACCTGTAATTTTACATTAATTTGTGTAAGAAGGATAATAGTTTTAACAATACATCATTTTTATTAGTGTGGAGCTCTTCTCATCTAATTTTTTCTTAGGTTGAAAAGTCTTTGAGGGTACTAATTGCTAACTAGGGTGTGGTGAGCTGCGCGAAGAAGGAAAAGGGGTTGGGGAAGGAGAGCAAAATGACTCTATATTGAGATTAGTACACTGTAATCAGTAGTTGTAATTTTTGTCATTTCTAATCTGACTAAACACACCAGAATTGTTGCAATAAATCTTATATCACAGTGAGCATCAAATAAAACGAAAAAATTCACCTTTTTTTACTGTCGGAATAGTGCTGAAGATTGCTGAAACACTCCTGCTGATGAAGTGGTAGGTGATTCAGCAGGCCAGTAGATAAACCAATCTCAGTGAGATTTTTTTACCCAATTAGCAACAAATGTTTTCTTTTGTGTCAAAGCAAACCAACTTCCTTCTCACAGCTGTCTTAGGTGAATAAACAAATCTCCAAATCAATACCCTTTAAAAACCACAATTTCTTTTGCGTTGCTATGGTACAGCAATAAAAATATTAAAACTAACAAGGGCATGAGCTTCACAGTGCTGTATAAACTAGTGAACTGAAAATGGTAACAGTCTGCAGGATGGTCTTTCACCCAGGTGTTGTTTATGTGATTTAAAAGATAGCAGTATCCAAAAAGTTTGAATATTAGGACTCTAATCACTTAGTAGTAATGTCATTAGTGAAGGTGCAAAGTAAGAACTTGTTGGCTATTTGTGGACATTTCTCATCACAAAATGTAAATCAATTTCAGTGCCTTTTGAATCATATCATTTAACCATAAATTAGCAAAGGGAAATCAATCAGTCACTGGACATTGACCTCATCATGCTTTTGAGTGTCATTGATTTTATAAAATGACCGTATTAGTAACTAAGTAGCAGTATGCAGACTTATGAAATATCGTGTGCATAGCCTTAGCTTGATACTAGGCCTAGTAAAACCTGTATTAGTTGAGTTCTGTCCCAAACTTTATCATCCTGCTAAACTGGTTCCAGTGTGCAAGCAGTTTTCAGTGGACCCTTCATTTTGTCAAGAAATTATATCCTAGTCTAGTTTCTCTGTTGGTTTATAACTTGTCTCAGATTGAAGAAACTTTTTTAGAATCTCAAGGATTTCAATGGATCATTTTTTTGCGACTCAGATTTTTGATGGGTGTTTAATGGGCCTTATATATTGAAAGTGGTCAGTAGCAGGAAAAGAAACCACCAAAACCACAGTAAGGGTTTGGGCTTTCTTAAGCTATTTTACAATTTTATTGCACTGCCATCCATGGAACCTGCTGATAAATCTGCCTCAGATACAAATGAAACATTCCTTCAGACAGTTGAATGTTTCCTGCCTGCCAGCCTAGAAGTCAAACTTTGCATGATATTACAGAAATTCATCTTTTTTTTTTTCCTTTGGCAAAATGACTTAGTGGTGAAATTGTTATAGTCAGCTGTACTTTCCTATTTTGATCATCTTGTCACTTTCTGATTCAGCTGATAAAAGGATGTGTATTTTGTCAAGGGAAATATATAGACACATCACTCTTGTTGACAGCTGAAGAGGGTCACAAAAATTTCATCAAGGGAAGCTTCTACATTACAGCTTCTGTCTTGCAAAAAATGTAAGCCTCAGAATAAGTTTATGTATAGGACTAATGCCTTGGATTTCAAGGAGAGTACTGACATGGTGTCTGCCCTAAGAATGTGAGCTTCCTAATTACCCATGTGTGCCTGTCTGCTTATGTGAATAAATTGCTGCTTAAAACTGTACATATGTGAATCTTTGGGCTTATGGTCTATATTTTACTTAGGAAATTTCTATGTAAGCATGTAGGTAAAAATAGCCTCATTTTCAGAGTTGCTAAATGTTGACAACAACAGTTAGCTGGCGGCAGTGGTGCTCAGGAAGTTAGGTTAATATTTCTGTATATACTCTTAGGTGCTGTACCTTCTCCAACCTATTTGAGATATGTTAAACATAGCATCTCAGACAATGTTTTGAAAACAGTCAGGTTTTGCTGTAATGTTAACTTTGAGGGCCGGTTTCAGGGGAAAATTCTTCTTACAAAAAAAAAAAAGAAAAAGAAAATCAGTTGGGATATTTCATTGCATTATCCTTAAGGTCTGTTTGCTTTTATAAGAAAATTCTGTTTTGTCTTTTCCTTTGTGAAAGAGAAGCTTATCAACAAATTCAGTATTGATTTATTCTGTTTTCATTTTGTTGAATAAAACCAAGGTAAAGGGATGATGAAGGAGATTCATAAGGCTTGAATTCTGAGAGGTAAAAGGCATAGAATAAAGATATCAACAGCTTTGGTTCCCATTGTTACTTTGGGGTCTATTTGTGCTGAATTGGTGTAATCCATCCAGGTCTGCATCACAAAACCAGCAAGTGGGATAGCATCAGAAATGACAGGAAGACTTTAAATATCCTCTTATCTTTGGAGGTTATCCATCCTCTGGTTAGATATATGTTGACAGAGTAATGTGAGTGATTGCAAAGTAGTGCAGCTTTTGTTCTGACTTCTTTGTGCAAGATCTTTGCCTCTGCAACCATTAGTCTAGAACATCTCAAGTGCAGTAAATGCACATAGACCCTGAATGTATCTTGCATTAAAAGCTCTTTACAGTGTTCTGTTAGTGTAAAAAGGACTTAAACTGTTCATAATTTTCTTTTTTTTCCCCATTTGGTTCATAGCAGCCAGTCTCTACGTAAAGAGAGTCTCTCTATGTAAAACACACCATAGATGAGAACTTTAGTTATACATTGTTAACAATTAACCTGATGAAAAATCATTTAAAGGTGAGGTAGGGATACTCTCTGGTACATTTGCATTATTTCTGTGGGCAAAGAATAAGCAGAATTTTGGAAAAAAACCCAACAAACCTAAAAACCAAATTCAAAAATGTCTTAGAGAAGAGTTTTACAGACGTAGAGGACAATGTGCAATTAGAGATGGAAAACCAATACAGAGACATTGATTTTGGCAGCTCTCAGAATATTTTGAGTAGTGTGCTCTCTGGGCAACAAATCCTGTTATTAAAATGATCTTCTCACTATGATGGCTTTGCAGGTGTCTTCATATCATCAAGAGAATTGTATTCACAAAGTCTGCTGTTATAGGCACACATTTTTACAGATGTAATGAAAAATGAACAGCACATCTGAGAGCTCTAAAGAGACAGTAGAAAGGAAAAAACCTCAGGAGTTAATATTTTGAGAAACCTGACAATATTTTGAGATCCCAGCTCACCATTTTTGACATGTGCTATTGAATGCTGCACCAGTCCTAAAGGACTCTGTATCTTTCTTGGTGCTATTTGGAGTGAACTCCAGAAAAGGATTTAGGATTTGGGGTGGGGGAAGTAGACTCAGGCCATGTGATTGCTTACTGACAAGGTTTTGTGAGGATGGCACCTGGCTCAATTTTTGGTTGAAGGTGTTTACTAAGATCCTATGAGTATTTGGCCATGTGGATTTAACAGAAGGATTAACATGTAGCCAGGAAAGGCCTTAAGGAGGAAAGTGTTACCTTACTTTCTAGTTGTGGATGAGATACAGAACTCTGCTAATATATGTTATCATTTTCAGTATTTTTACATCTTCTAATTTCTAATAACCCATCCCTGAAGACAGATATGCCATGGTTGGACTTGATCTAATGACTGGACTTAACCTAACAGTTGGACTTGACGATCTTAAAGATCTTTCCCAGCCTAAACAATTCTATGACTCTATGTGTAACTGAAAGTTAAAATGGAGTTCTGTTTTGATTGCTCCAACAGAATATGATATATCTTGGTTTATATATTATTATCAGGTTATGGCTGTTATTGGCAAAACTTTTTCTCTTACTGCTGTTCTGTCACTGTCATAATGCAATGCCTACAAATTCAGAAAAGAGTCTGAGTGTGGTGTTTTGTTCTACTGAAGCAGAAATTGATAACTGCTGATTTACAGTTCTGGCAGTCAGAAATGAAGTATCTATTTTAATAAAAGCACAAAGTGGCAAATATAACTAGTATTTTTAAATAATTTTGCTTTGTTTCCCAGTGTTGCTTTGGCTTTCTCCTCAATTCGACTTCTCCAAGATGCGAAAGTTTTTAGGATGGAAATGACACATTTTCAAGAAGAACAGGATGGAAAGGAGTGTTTGGTATGTGTGGGTATTTGTTTTAAACTAATCTTTCTTAGTGTATAAAGTCTTGTATGAAGTATTGAGTGATTTTCCTCACACTGGAGCTTAGCAGTCATTTGTATTAGATTGTTACCCTCAACCTGGAGAGAAAATAATCCATGACATGCTTCAGATACCTGCTTGCCTAAGGGTGTATTCACTGTGTCTATAGTCATCATTATAATTTGTATATGGTTAGTAATTAGTTTGTGTTTGTATACTCTCAAATACACTGAAAACCTTGTTTCATTAAAAAAACTCCGAACAAACAGGAAGTGGATAAACTAGCTATCAGGTGAAAATACTGCATTATTCTGTTAAGGTACTTCAGGTTTCTGGATTGAAAACCTACTTCAGATGATTCTCTTTCAAAGAGTCAGCCCTCGCAGTTCACATCATCACTGTGTTCCACATTGAGCAAGATTTCAGCTGACTTAGTTGTCTAACACACAGGGTTTGGAAAGCCCAGGTGCAAAGTCTGTTGGTCACACCCCACACATTCACTTCCAAGCACACAGTAAGTCAAACTGACCCACATGGACAGAACAATTGAGCAGTGAGATTTTGTAACAGGCATAACAAAACTGGACTTTCCTGCGTGCACTGTATTTATTTTCTGTCTGTATTGCATATCAGGGTCTTCTATCTTGCTGCGCTTGCTCCTCCGTTTTCTTAGGACAGTCCTGGAGCCAGTAACTGAGTTACAGATATTTTTTTCCTCATTTGCATTAATGCAAGTCAGTCATGATGATTTTTTGTCTAAGTAAAATGCAGGTGGTGCATTGTCCATTGATTGCTTGCTGAAACAAGGTATAGAATATGGACTGTATATTTTCAGTCATGGAAACACTGTTTATAATGTGTGAAGCTGGCACAGGGAGCGGAGCTGAGAATTCTCACAAACCCTTCTAATACTACACTACACCAATATTTGTTTCTAAACACCAGAAACACAAAAAAGTAGAAATAAAAAATTTCTTTCTAGTCACTAGTGAGGGAGCAGAAATTGATATTGACTCTGCTCTACAATTAGACTTTTATGTGCCTTAAAATTTTGTGTAATGCTCCTGTTTGAGAGGAATATGGTCCAAACCGTTAGAATAATTCTCAATAACATATGTAGTATATGGATATAGTTATGGAGCCTCACATAAAAGTGGTTTAATTTTCAATTGTTGACATATTTTTTTATATTTATTAAAAATTTAATTATCAGTGGCCTCCTGTTATTGAAAAGAATATGTATCTATCCCTCAAATAAAGTTTTGTTTAGAATGTTGTTGTTATTTGTAATATATTTGTATTAATTTGATTTATTTTAAACTGACGCTGCTCTGTTGCTTTGGAGTAAGGTATTTGACTTGAAAGTAACATTTTTCTTGTTTTTGGCAATTATTAGGACTCCTTCACTGAAGATGTTCAACTGCCTCACAGTGTAATGGCACAAGACCACATGAATGTACATTTGTGGCTAAGGTGTCGTACAATGTTAGTGACTGCACTAGTAACACAGATACTTGGTGTTGGCGACATGAAAGGTATTACCCTTGTTTGGTTTAGATTTTTTGATTATAATAGGCAATTGAGCCTATTCAGCCACAATTCTTATTCAAAAATGAAAGATACTAAGATTAATTCTGGAGCTGTGTTATCACTGAACAGTTATTTGTATTAAATTCATCCAATCCAGTAAGGCAAATATATTTCTGAGTACAATCTCTTCCCAGAGCTTGTAAAGTATTATATTAATTTTCATTTAATACTCATTATGTTTTTATAAGTCACTTGTGTGTAAAAGTTTCAGATGTTCTAGTGCAATAATAATTATGCTTGCTTTAAAAAACACTGTTTCTGTGTACTTCTAGTTTTAAAAGTCTCAAAATATTTTTTCACTTTTTATACCTCTGATAAATGAAACGTTCCTATATAGCTCCTATGAATGCTTCAGATTATTTTTTAAGGAATTTAAGTGAGATATTACAAAATAGATTTAGGTTTGGTTAAGAATAAAATGTTTTTCATTCCTTAGTTCTATGAACTTGGTATAATTTTTGAGACCCACTTAAGTATCAAAATCACAGTCTTAAGTCTGTAGACAAACTCTTATTTAATCACTTCTGGATAACTCCTGTGAAGGCTGTTACTATTTTGGAATTACGACTAAAATCAGATTTTTGAATATGTAGAATAGATCTTCAAAATCTCATTTTCTATGCTGGTGGCTTACATGTAAAGCATGTATTTGGATGAACATAAACTGAGTGAAGTTTAGAAACTTGGTGGGTTTTCTCTCTTTTAAAAGTAAATTTTACACAGAACTGATGAAATTATCAATGTAGAATCTAGAATGTCATATTTTCTGGAACTTTTTAGTGTAGAAATGACTCCTTAAGAATGGAAGGTAGAATAAATTCTTTTCTATAATATTTTTACTATTCATATATTCTCTTCTTTTAGAAAGTGATGTGGCTGAGCACAGAAGTGTTATAAAAGAAGCAATATCAGAGGCAGAAGCCTTTGGTGATATTGAGACTCAGGCTGAAATGATGGTGCAAGCTGCAATTCTTGACCTGCAAGAAAAACGTCCTGTGACAGGCATTAAAGTTCTTCTGCAGGTTTGAACACAAAGGAAAAACTGTTTGCTTTTCTTTGATGCATTTTTTGTGGAGTCAGAACAGCTGATGACAGCATTAAACATGCTTGAAATAGTGCTGCTAAAATAGATTTTTTTCTACTTTGTGTGATTTGTCCTCATAAATAGACAACAAAAATAGTAACTCCTTTGGTTTATGTTGTCTTATGTCCAAACAGAATGTCATCAGTTTACTCCAAGAGGATACATTTATTTCCCCTCCAGCTTCTTTGACTCTTGTGAGAAGTGTGCTTCTGCTGGCTGACATCCTGGCACTGCAAATAGCAGACGATACAGAACATTGCTCTTCTGCAGGGGAACCATTAAACTTACTTGTTTTGGCACATGAGGCTACCATTAAAGCAGTGAGTATATGTTGGTGATTTACACAGCACTTGCAAATCCTTCCAACAATCTTAATTATCTATTCTGGAAGCTATTTGAGCAATTTATTAGAAAGGGATATTCCTATTAAGTGATCACCTCAGTTTGACCTATATTAGAATAGTGTAAAGAAACTTACCAAACCTACTTATCCAAACTCATCATGCATACTCATCATCTATGTAGTCTGGTATATTCACACAATTTAAAAATACTGAGTACTTGCAAAATTCACATCCAGATGTGAAAACTGAAATAGGTAGTTTGCCTTTTAAAGAGATGTGGACCACTCACTTTTCCCATTTGAAATGAGGGACATGCTCATACAGGGAGGATGTATCTCTCATTAAATTCCTAACTCTTGAGCCTCCAAGTTTAAGAATTTACCTTTGCATCTTAGAATAATTTGAATCAGAAAATCTGTATAAAGAAGCATGATGTTTTAGATTGACAGATTCTTACAATCAGTATGAAGAACTAATTTCCACATAAAGTAAATACGTAATAAAAAAATAAATCTAAAGACATGAAATCTGTGAGAGGAATATATAGTAATAAACCATTTACATAGCTGGTTACCTAAAAATAGATATGCACTTTTTTGATACAGTTTATAGAGCAATTTTTGGCTTCAAATTCTTTCCTCTTATTTCCTAAAACAGAAATTTAATCCATTGAAATATATATTTCCCTAAGTAATAAAGAACCATATGAATCACTTCAGACTCAAGACTTCCAACTGCGAGACTTGCTAGCCTCCCAGAGACTTGACACTTTATAGCCTGTCTCCATCTTATCTCCATAAATTAAAACTCTGACTGGTCCATACATGCTATTTTCTTTTCTGGCCTTTGTTGGATGTCAGATGTCTTTGTAGAAATGACAGTTTCTTTCTAGGGCTCGAGTTACTTTGGAGATCTATTTCTAAAAGACTGAGTTGAGGGAGTTTTCTTTTAGAAACCAAAGCTCAACATTATTAATTTGATCAAGAGTTCATTAAAATTGTTCATTTGCTACAACATTCCTCTGCAAAGAAGACAAGTACAAACTGAAAGGAAGTAAATCAAATCATTTTCTAGTGGCCGTTTTTTGCAAGACCTAACTTACTTTTTCAAAATGCTATTTAATTTCCTGTCTGCAACTTGATTTTACAAAGCTTGCACTTTTCACAGATTTTTGTTTGTGGAGAACCCATTGAACAGAAAACAGAAGATAGTACATTGACTTGCCTGGTCTTACCTGCAAAAAATATCTACCTGCCGCATATTAACTTGCTAGCTCAAGTCAAAATGCGAATTGGTAAGAAAAACATCAATCATTATTTTTTTAGGCTTTAGTTAATTTTCATTCATGTTTTATGCAACAGCATAAAATGAACTGATGCCTCAGAAGTAAATGTAGTAAGGAATTGTTTTCATTATACAAATAAAGTATTTTGAAAGCCAACAGTAGATGCCTGTTTAGCTCCATACAATGTGTATAAGCAAGGTACAATTATGGGAATGACAATCAACAAAGGCTTAAATATTAATGTTATAGCTTGATGAAATTAATGGGAACTTTTTTTAAAGTGGAAGTTAACAATAATACTTTTTCAACTACTGTACAAAGCATTCTTTCTGTGAAAACTTCTTGTATGCGTTCCATGTCTCTGGAAGCAGTTATATAGCAACTAACTAATGATATAAAATCATACAGAATAATACTGATAATTCTCTATCCCAATGAAATATATAGTGTGTGTTATCCTTGTCACCCTTTAACAACTTTTCTTGATAACTTTTCTTTACATAGAAACTTGGAAATATGTTGAATGGTAAGAGAAGACAACCTTGAACATCTGCTTGAGACTTGTTGCTGTATAGAAAATAAAGGGAAAGGAATATTGTCTCCATGCTCCTTCTGCTAAACTTCATTTGGGATATATCTGACTTATAATAGACTAGAAAATCTAGAAATCATTTACTGCACTTTAGTTCTCACTGTGGAGCCTCAGCATGTTGTGGATTCTTTTTCAGGCTGCAACCAAACCACTGCTTAGTATTCAGCCCTTAGGACTAAATAGAGGTAGTCCAAAGTGAACACTCTGAAATACATCTGTCAGGTCTCCAACAGCAGCCACTTTGCACTAGAGCTCCACTCTTTCATTGTGCCTTATTGCTTGTCAGTGCAGGCATGGCCAAACCCACTCACAGGAATGGTTATGTTTGACCAGTTCGTGTTTCTGAATCCACATTTTTAGGAAGAGCCTATGAATACAGATGAATATTGGGGAATACAGTATAAGAGGTATGCAATGCATCAAAGGAACCTTTAGAACTCGTTAGTACAGAAGGAATTTGGGAATTTTGAAATGCTCAGAGAGGTTTAGGTTTTGGCTATGCCTGCCAGGTGAAATGAAGTGATGAAGTGGCTTGCTGCTAGTCTTTCCAGGTGATACGTGAAATGGTTGATTGGTGTAGCTTAGGCTTCTTTTGGATGACCTAGGTAAACCTCAGAGGCATCATAAAGTAGTGAAGCAACATTATAGTTCGGTATTTATATCCTTATGGATCACTTGAATTTTGGGAATTGGATTGTAACAGTAAATATGTAACAGCATTTGTTCAAAGGAATTCTTTTTGCATAAATTGCTTGTCTATTAAATAATTTACTAAGAACTGGTTTTTTTTTTCTCTTTAGGATGCACATTAGCTGAAAAAGTAGCTTGTACAGCTGCAAGAGGAGATCCATTGCAATGGCTACAAGCTCTTAGACATTTAGAATCAGCATTGAAACTTTGCAGAGCATCTGCAACAAAAAGATTAGATATGGAAGCTGAACTTCTTTTTCAGATAGGTAAATCATCCGTGTTTGTACATCATAACTGCCTTCCTAGGCAATATTATGCACGTGGCCTCTCTTAAATGGAGACATTTTACTGTAAAAAATAGAACAGATTTGGCTATTTCTCACTGTGTAGCTGCAGATCTCTCTCCTGTGTTTGTATCACTCCAGCATAGTTCAGGATGCACTCTACAACAAACAATTTCAAATCTCCTATAGAACTTCTTTCACCTGTATGTTGTCAGGGATCAAAGGGTGTAGCCAATAAGATTAAGGACAAAAACCATATTAACATGAGAACCTCTGCACTTGAACAGAAAGGGCAGGTAGTGTAATCACTGGTACTGCAAACAAGCTGGGGACATTTATCCTGGGGCTACTGGATGTGCATCCTACAACACAGACCTGCAGGCCACACTGTGTGCAGCATAGCACAGCACAGAACAGGCCTCCATGTACAATGGTCTTCTAGGTAGAAGAAGTAAATGTTAGGGGTCATTATGATTCCCAAATGTGATTATTCTAGCTCCTCTGTGAAGAGAGTTGTTACACAACCATTGTGCATTGCCTTTTAAACAAACCGGAGACGATTTTGCTTATCAGGAGGAGAATAGATAAGGTTCCTGGAGGGAAAAGCAGATTGGGTCTTGCAGAAAAATAATTAAAAACATCTCGAAAATCTACTTTCTATATTTCTTTCTTAGGTAAGGTGGAACGCCAGGTAACTGAAGCAGGCAATAACAAGTCATCTCAAGCTGTTGAAACCTTGTTGGAAGCTATAAAGCTCAGCCAGCAACATGATCAAAAATATGAGTAAGAAACTAGCTACATAACTTTTAAAATAATTTAAATCATACATGAATATAGTTTTAAAACAAGTTTTTGAATTTTGGTCTGGAACTCCTATTAGGGAGCATCTTTTATGTTTTAGAGGGTTTTCTTCTATTGCAACATAGAAGATTCTGTTCTGTTTCCAAATTTGTACCCTCTCTGACAACACTGGGAACAGAGCTATCAATTAAACAGAGGGTTTATTCATATTTCAGAAGATGAGCTGTGGTCTGCCCCCTTCTAGATAACAGAAATCCAGCTTGAAAAGGTTAGCAGCCAGAAATAGTCAGAAGAGCTGAGGCAGAAGGAGCATAGGAAATGTGTTTGTAAAAGATATCAGGACAGCGACTTTGGCATTAGTTATCAGCATAGAAGATGCCTGAAGAGCTGAGCCAAGACAGCCAATAAATTCTGTCAAGCACCTCTGATACATTGGACTTTAGTTGGTTTTTTTTTTTAGTTTCTTGACCAGTCTAAATGAATAATGTGCCAAGTCTGGTTACAGACAGTGTAAAGGCAGCAATTTACCTTGCTTGTTTGGGTATTCTTTTACTTAAGTTAATGAAGCAGAACTCTGAACACAGAAGCAGTAGCATAGTAATAAACCTCAGCAAGCAGTCAGCATGATGGAAGACGGTACAGAAATGGACTGTGGTGATGTTTTGCAAGTTTAATTTGCTACACTCATTTAATCTGCTACCATCTTTCTAGAAGAATGTACAGCAACATCAGTGGACCTCGACTTTCTTGTTTTAGAGAACTGAACTTACTGGTCACATTTATACAAACCCTGTTGTATATATATGAGATTGTTTAAAGTTGTTTCTTGATGTCTCAAATCCTTTTTTTATTAGCAAGACTAGAAAGTTAGCTAAATTGTTGCCAACTAAGTACAGAATTTGCCATCTTTTCACTTAGTT